GTTGTTTTTGAGCAAGTAAGATTGTACGAGGCATATTTTTCGTCTCTTTTTCTTCTTCTTCTTCTTCTTCTTCTTCTTCTTCTTCTCCTGGTGTTCAAACCAACCTACGAATAAACCTTATTTAGAAACACGTAGGTGGTGTATGCTCTGATGTCTGCCCACATTTCACGGTGGCTCACGATTGGAAGCCAAAGTATTTGAAAATTTCTGAATCACCGAACACGACACCACGGTTCAAAAAAAAAAAAAATGATTATTCTTTTCATGGTAACCATCATTTTTCATCCTGATATTTAATTATTAATGACAAATTTCTTCGGATTTTTTTTTTTGTTGGTTCAATTTATTAATCCACACGGTGAATAAGAACACTTTTGGAATATACAATTTTCATTTGAAATTTATAAAATTATTTTGTTGTTGTTGTTGTTGTTGTTCTATTCAATATTAAACGAGCCATTACGAACACCCACGAATATCACAACGATATATATATATATATATATATATATGTATATATATAGTAAATATAAAGCTATTTATATTTATTTATTTATTTTTTTTTTATAAACTTTTCTGTTAAATTAAAATCTTCAAATTTATTCAATTTTGTTGTTGTTTAAAGTCATTGCCTACGTTGATAACTTTTTGTATAATAATTTGACCCAATTGGAAGGGTTCTTATTTTTTTTATTTTTTATTTTTTTTATTTTTTGTACGTGGGTTTATCGATGTACAATGAAATCCTTCGAAGGTTTCTCTTTTATTTTTCATTTATTGTTCAATAAATAAAATATCGAGTAATGTGGATTATTGGATTAACGTTAGATATTTCGAATTTATTTAAACGATATTTTAGTCTTATAATTAATATATATATATATATATAATACTCGATTTTTAATTAACGACACTCGTTGTAAACGTTCGATCAATAAGAACCTTTAACTTTATAATATATTATATCAAACAAGTGCAGGTGTTGCTTAAAAAAAAAAAAAACTTACGTTAATTGCTAGTTAATTTATTAATTTTATATTACATACGTTTTTCTTTTTTTTTTTTTTTTTGTGTTTTTTTTTTACATTTTCAATGATAATTATCTTTTCCGTTCGATTTTTCAAATTTTTTTTATATTGCGATAAGCTTAACACGATCTTTGATAAACGCGTAAAAAAAAAATAAAATGGTGATCATTCGATATGTTCACGAAACAAAGAAAAAGTCGACTGGAATAAAAAAAAAAAAAAAAAAAAAAATCATCGTATGAGGAAAAATAAAAATAAAAATAAAATGTAATTTTATCGACCATATACATGAATATAACATCGACAACTTGACTAGTCTAATTTAACGTTAACTTTTAAGGTAGATCTTGATAAATTGTTTGCTGTTTAAAAAAAAAGAATTGAAAAAAAAAAAAAAAACAAAAAAAACTATGTAATAGTTAAAAACAGGTCATAAGAAAATTTTAGTAAAAAATTCGATACAACTTTAATATAAAAAAAAAAAATTATACGAGAATTTTTTTTTAATTGGTTATATGATTTATTATCATCCTATATATATATATATATTTAAAATAAAATATAAAATATATTAAATATATATAAAAAAAATATTAAATATATATAAAAAAAATATTAAATAAAATATATAAAATAAAATAAAAATTTGAAATAATATTATCACCCTATATATTAAAAATAAAATAGAAAATAAATATATAAAACAAAATAAAAATTAGAAATAATATTATCACCCTATATATTAAAAATAAAATAGAAAATAAATATATAAAACAAAATAAGAATTAGAAATAATTGTTAATTGAAAAATAATCAGGTCGATAT